CCAAAGAAATATTTAAAAAAAAAAAAAAAAAAAAAAACTAACAAAAATGACAAACACACAACAACATTGCTGTAACAAAATAAAAATATAAAGAATATAAAAAATATAAAAAGGAATTCTAATTTAAAATATGAATACATCTATAATAGTATCTCTATGATACTAAAATAACACTGGTCCACAAAAGTAAAAAATAACTGAATTTAACATTATGCAATTTTTATCTTCCATGATTTTTGTTATGTAAGGACTTATTTGTAGTCAGTCATTCTTTTGCATAATCGTTTACTGCTGTTTATGCGTCAGTAAATCAAGCCTGTGACTGAACTTCACAGTGTCCCTCTTAGCATGAAAATCATCTGCTATTTCAATTGTTTAAATTTATATACAGAAAGCATGCGAAGTACACTCACTTTATTATCACTGGAGCTGTCAGTCACTTCAGTTCAGCACAAGTGACTGTGAGAGTTCTGCACTCTCACCAAAAATAATGCTATGATCAACACTTTTCATGATTATTTCATCTCAGCAGCTGCGATTATTAAACGTGTCGTAGTTCTTATTTCATATGCGAAGACGTTACCTGAACATAGCAGTGGAAGTGGAGACCCGCTCCCTTTAAACAGTGTTTAAACTCGAGGGCTAAAATTATGATACAAAATAGGCTTTTATGTCTAAGTTATGACCGTTTTTGATATGAAAATCCTTAACATTTTAAGTGCACCTCAGGAAACATTATAAAATAAAAATGCAATTTGTGACCCGTTTAAGTAGAGGGTGATTCAGCACTAAAATTCTTAAGCTTTCATCTTTTATGCACCTCTTCACTTAAACGTGTGTTTAATCTGTTGCAGCCGAGTCATGAGGGTTATCTGGCCTGTCTGGACATCTGTAGTATATTTCTGGACTACCTGACCACCAAGATCAGAAGCCGATTGGCTGACAGTGACAGTGTCGTTAACAGGTGCGTGTCTGTGGACTTTTTGTGAACCCAGGAATTGAGTTTAGGTTGTATTAGAAACATTGCATTAATCTGTGTGTGTGTGTCCAGGTATAAAGATGCTCTAGTTCTGCTGCTGCGTGAAGTTCTTAACAGGATCCAGTTCAGGTTAAACCAGAGTCAGCTAGAAGAACTCGATGACGAGACCCTTGATGATGATGTAAGGATCCATTAAACATGCACCAAAGCATCAATTTTGTTCTGCAGAATTTTTGGAACTTTTTTTCCCCCCTCTGGTCTCTATAGCAACAGACGGAATGGCAACGATACCTGCGTCAGAGTTTGGAAGTGGTTGCCAGGGTGATGGAGCTGCTGCCATCCCAGACCTTTTCAGATCTGGTAGGTGTATGTGAGTGGGTGAGCGTGTACGTCCTCGCTCTCTTTGTACTGAAAACAATTGACTCTTCATTGGCAAGTCTATTAGATGTTTAATATGGAAACAAATCTAATTTAAAAATCCAAAAGCAATAATGAAGGATTTACGATTTTAAATCAAAGGTCACTGTAATCCACATGAGTAGGAGTTTTAGAGCTGTCAGTTATATAGAATTTTATGTATAGTTATATGTAATTTTATATATTTTATATAAATAAAAGGAAAAATTTAAGTTATTTATTTAGATACATATGTGTGTTTTTAGTTTCCGGTGCTCCAGGAGGATCTGGACATTTATCTTGGGCTGCAGCAGTTTATTGTGAGATCAGGAGCAAGTGAGTTTCTCTTCATTATCGCAATCTGAATGAGTTTTATAGATAGCGGTTTTGTTCCAAAACCTGTAGAGCTGCACAACCAGATAATGCTTTTAGGTATCCAAATACCGTTCCATTATAAGAAACATTGTTTTGGCCAGATTTTAGGGCAGGTTTGCATATATGCGTCATAGATAAGGCAATCCCAGAATGCATTGCACAAAGCTCATTGAAAAATTCCATGCAAGATGCTGTGCCATTTTTACTCAGTATCCAAATGTTACTGTCTTGTTTGTCTTAATGCACCAAAGCATAAAAGGGGAATTTGCTGGAAATGTGATATCTTTGACAACTTTATTTCCTTGTTACTCAGGCAGCAACTTTTTTTTTTCTTTTGCTATCTGACTTCACATCAAATATCACACACATATTTTACTGCCTTGACATGAGGAATTTTACTTTTTACTTTTTAAACTTTTTTTGCCCCAAGATTTTAACAAATCAGTCCATGTAAGCAGAGGCTTGTTTGATTTTAAGGCTGTACAACTACAGATGAGATAAAATATAAAGTAGGAAGTTCTACATTAACTATAACACACACTACAGTTTAAAAGTTTGGGGTCAGTAAGGTTTTTTTTTTTACTTCTTTAAAATACAGCAAAAACAGTAATATTTTGAAATATTGCGATTTTAAAAATAGACGTTTTCTATTTGAATATATTTTAAAATGCCATTTATTCCTGTGATGCAAAGCTGAATTTTCAACATCATTACTCCAGTCTTTAGTCACATGATCCTTCAGAAATCATTCTAATATGCAGATTTTGATGCTAAAGAAACATTTCATATTATCATCAATGCTAAAAACAGTTGTGCTGCTTAATGTTTTTTTTTTGTGGAAACCAGCTGTGCTTGCTCTATATTTTTGTGATTTTTTTTCACTTTTCTTCGATGAACAAAGTTCAAAAGAACAGCATTTATTTGAAACAAATCTTTTGTAACATTTTTTTTACTGTTAGTTTTGATCAATTTAGTGCATCCTTGCTGAATAAAAATATTACCTTACTAGCCCCAAACTTATGAGCGGTAATGTACCTTCTATTGATTGCTTGAAAACGTAATCAGTCTGTATAGGTTGAGTGAGTAGGGTTGTAGTAGTGTCTGGTCTTGTAATGATCGCTCTGATGGTCATTAGTGGCGGTGTTCTCATGTGGCTAGTGAGCTGCTGTCAGCTGTTATTGAGTGGTTTCACACCTCTCCGTGTGTGTGTGGGTGTGTGCGCGTGTGAACAGGCCGCAGGCTGAACATTACAGCGGAGGCCGACTGCAGAAAGCTGCACTGCGCTCTCAGAGACCTGAGCTCTCTGCTGCAGGCCGTGGGACGGCTGGCCGAGTTCTTCACAGGGGACGTTTTCACCACTCGCTTCAATGATGCTCTCGCCATTGTGCCGAGGTCAGTTCCTGATTCACAATTCCTCATTTAACAACAACACTCCCTCCTTATGTGTGTACTTGATGTCCTCTGTGTTTTTATGGCATGATTTATACTTCAAATTAGAGCCCGACCGATATATCGTTTTGCCGATTTTATCAGCCGATATGAGCCTGTTGCAGATATATCGGTGAGACGTGAATTTAAATAGTATTTATTTACAGAGGTATATAATATCACACTTCACACTTCTCTAGTAAGTTTCGTCTGTGTGTGAAGACAGTAGCGCAAATCCGTGAATGAATGTTCCAAATAAATATTCAAACCACGTGTGTTACAACTAACCCCCCGTTACTTTGTGCATCACGCTCCCCTATATTATATTACTTCACACTTCTCTAGTAAGTTTCGTCTGTGTGTGAAGACAGTAGTGCAAATCTGTGAATGAATGTTCCGAAGTGAAATAAACTTCAACGGAATAAAGTTGAATGGAATTGAATTGAATTAAAGCTGAATAAACTTCAACTTTACTGTTCAATGCACTGATGTCAGACTCATTTTGGATAATAAAGTTTATTGTTAAATACCCTTCCTCCATTACATATCTTTGTCACGCCATTATAAGCGTTTCATCACCACATTTGAGTGATCATTGCAAAAAATTTGTTTATGTATATATATTCCGTTTATGTATATACTGTATTCTATATATAGTACCAGTCAAATGTTTGGACACACGAATGGGAAAGTGTCCAAACATTTGACTGGTACTGTACTATAATATACACAAAGAATATCGGCCGATATATCGGTATCGGCCTTTTTTTACTCCCT